TCTTGCTGATCGGACTTGGTTGAGGCATGGATTTGGAACCCTGGCCGTGTGTGTATTCTCTAATTCTGGGTACAGTCCTCATCCACATGCACTTGTAACGAACTGTACAATTCTTCCTTCTGATTCTGAGACCGCTCACTAAAGGCGGCGTGCATGTAGGGCTATGTCACTCACGGGTTCCCCATCGTAAAAACCTTCTCTTCTTTTATCTTTTTACACTTCTTTAAAGAAAAATTCAGATTTGAACTTCTTTAATGTTTCTCTTTTCTTTCTATTTGTTCTTTAACTTTAATGTTCAATATTGCTCTTTAATGCTCTTATGAGTATATATACATGTAGATGGGCTCATGTTTATTATTCTTTCTAAATTCACATGTTTGGATGCAATAATGCAATATGGAATGTAAACATGTCATTCTCTACCATCTACAAACTCATCTTAAGATAACAAATAATCATACTCATACATGCTCTTCTCTTTGACATTTCATCAAACAATTTATATGCACACATCAACTCTAACTTGGCTACACTTCTACCTCTCTTCTAAGCCATCAAAATTTGGAATAAAACACACCAAGATTAATGTCAAACCTGTCCAAGATTTACACTCTAGAAATTCTACTACAATTCTTCCATAATTCATCTAAACTCTCATCAAACATCAAGTACACAAACACTACTTCTCATTGATAAATTCTAACTATCATTCAACATCCATTCCATCAACAATTCTTCATATATAAGCACATACATGTATAAATGAATTTTTCTACACAATTTTTTTCCAATCATAATTAGGGTTGGATTTACTTACCTTAGATGTGAGCAATCCAACACTTTAGTAGTCTTCCTTGACACAAGTCCCTTTCTCTTAACTCCTATGAACATAAATCATAAGAATTCAACACTTAAAAAATTAAATCTCATATCTTAGTGCAAGGATCTTACCTAAGGATGCTTGAGATTGAAATTTCACTAAAAATAAACCAAGATCTATGAATTTCCTTGAAAAATGATTGAAGAAATTTGAGAGAACCTAGGTGGTAAGTGGTAAGTGGCGTGAATGGAGGAGAAGAAATGGCTAGGGTTTCATTCTTCAACTCTTGATATAACAAAATATTATTTCTAGTTTCCCATTTTACCCTTTCAATTTCTATGAAATTCCATCTATGTCCCTTAATCAATTACCATAATGCCCTCATTTTATTGCATTCTCCATGAAATTCTATCTCTTTTCGCTCCCCACTTTTTCAACTAATTATGAGTGAAAAGACCATTTTACCCCTAATGAAATTTTAAGGCATTTTCTTCACACTGGTTCAAGATAACTTTAAGAAAATTGAACTAAAGGTATAAGGGCATAAGTAAAGCTACGTACCTCGGTGTGGGCATTACATAAAATTAGTTGGTCCTATTTTCTTTTGGCATAACATAAGGAAGAAAAAATAGAGAAAACAAGTAAAATAAAATAAGAAAATAAACTAAATTAAGATCTTAAATTTATCAGGAAAATTATCTTACATAGTATCCATTTTAAAAAGAAGGCAAATTATTTTGGTATTGTTTTATTTCTCGGATTTAAAAAAGGCTAACCGTTTATTAAAAATGTCTTTCTAATCCTTTGCACCATCATTAATTTGAACAAAACTCCATTAGCGGTAGAATTGTTAGTTTCAAAACCTTAGAGGTGACAGGGTAGTAAACCAAAAATTGTCTAATTATTTAAAAAATATATTTATTAATTAGGACTTATTTTTTCTAGACAAATATATAATAACAAAAATAGAAACAAGACAAAAGGTAAATAATTGTTTCTTTTATGTTACAATTATTCATTTTATTATAGTATTTCATATTTTTCTTTGAATGAAAACTCTTTAGTATCAAATCCTTTTTCTGAAAACAAAATGGTACATATCATAAATTCAGATGGAAATATGCATATAATAAATCTATGGGTGATAATCCTCATGCAGTTTACATCATTACATGCGACATGAAATGCAAAATTGAAACTATCGCATGAACCCAACCTCAAATGAAAATCATTGTTCAACATGATCCTGTGATGACCCAAAAATACTCATTGAGTAGATGATTTTGTAAAACATTTTTTTTTCTTACATTTTTTTTGAAAATAATGTCTATGTGATTACGGTACAATTATTTGAATTATTTCTTATAAATTGATATTAATAAACTAGCGATATATTATACATTTTCTCTGATTTTGTATTTTTAATGTCTAATATATGGTACTGAAACTACTATTATTAACTTTTTACTTTATTAGTTCATTTATGATACATTAAAACTAATAACTGATAAATGATCTGATACCATAAACTAAATATATAATAACAAAAATAGAAACAAGACAAAAGGTAAATAGGTTTTTCTTTTATGTTATAATTATTCATTTTATTATAGTATTTCATATTTTTCTTTGAAAAAAACTCTTTATTACCAAATCCTTTTTCTGAAAACAAAATAATGCATATCATAAATTCAGATGGAAATATGCTTATAATAAGTCTATGGGTGATTAGAGCCGGTGGTGGGTTGTGTCAGCCTACAGCATGGCACGACTCGACACGAAAAAAGCACGGCACGATAAGACACGACACAAAAAAAAGCATGACACAGCTCGGCACGAAAATATGTGGGTCGTGCCGTGGGCCTTAAAAAAAAAGCCCATGAGCCAGCAAGGCATAGCACGAAAAAAAATAAAATTAAAAAATAATAAATTAATAGTTATTTTTTAAAAGTGCTGTTGAAGCCATTATGTGTATGAAAGATTGGGTGGCGGCAGATTTCAAGCTTCAAAATCTTGTTGTTGAAGATATATTTAAAGATTTTAAGAATTTAGAAATTAATGAAAATGAAGATTTATAATAATTCTTAATCCTAATTTCTAAGTTTGTATTTGTAATTTATAATTATAACTAATAAGTAATAAAAAGTGTTGAAATTCAATTAATATTTCAGTGTCTCATTATTTTATTATATTTCATAATGATTATATATTTTTAATTAAGATAAATATAAAATGTCACTAAATATAACGTATAAAATATTTTAAAAATAATTATTAATAATAAATCAAAATTGCCATTATTTATAAATATTAAAATTAAATATTTTTACAAAGCACATGGGCCGGCCCATGGCATGGCCCAAAGCATGGCACGATATTAACGGGCCGTGCTGTGGGCCTTCAAATTTCATGGGCTGGCACGGCACGACAGGGCACCAAACTATGCGGGCTTGACACGGCATGGCCCACGGCAAGATGAGCTTTGAATTTTTAGACACGACACGGCCCACCACCACCTTTATGGGTGGTAACCCTCATGCAGTATACATCATTACATGCAGCATGGCATGCAAAATGAAGCTGTCGTGTGGACCCAACCTCGAGCGAAAATCACTACTCAACATGATTCCTGTGTTGACCTAAAAATACTCAATGAATAGATGATTTTGTAAAACATTTTTTCTTTGCTTATACTTTTCTGAAAATATTATCTCTATAATTATGGTACAATTATCTGAATTATTTCTTATAAACTGATATTAATAAACTAGAGATATATTATATATTTTCTCTGATTCTGTATTCTTAATGTCTAGTATCTAGTACTGAAACTATTATTATTAACTGTTTACTTTATTAGTTCATTTCTGATACATTAAAACTAATAACTGATAAATGAACAGATACCATGAACTAATAATTGTTCTAATATTGTAAAACGGAAAATTGATCTGATGCTATAAACTAATAACTGATACTGAATTGATCATAAATGTTAACTGATACATTAACAGATATGATCAACACATATCAAGTGATTAAACAGTCAAACATACACCCCTCTTAATAAAGAACTTTTGTTATGAATGTGCTTCCTAGTTCCTATAACATTGTAATCTCTGTTATGACCTTTATTTCTTGCAAAATTTGGAAACAATGGTACCCATCAAAACTAAATTCTAAAAATAGTTACAAGAATCGGATGACTAATAGTTGAACAATATAATTTACATAAACATTTCAAATGTTTTCTTTTAAAATACAACTCATTAATTGTACATAAAATTGCATGACAGTAATAAGTCACAAAAACCAATCAATTATGGAAACATCTTCTTGCAAGTGTAATACAAGAGTGACTATAAAAAAACCTTTCAGTGTTTTCTCATCCTATACCGTTAGGAGGTGAGCAAATTTGTAGAATCCTGCATGATATCTATTCAGACATTCTTCATTTATTGTTGGTTTCATCCCATTCCTACAAGGTTTTGGCCTTGTAAGAGTCCATTGTCCATATGGCCAACGAATACATGTAATTTACCGCTCTAAAACAATCAATGGTGGTCCACGCTTCAGGAGTTTAGAGAGAATAACTACGCAGAAAACAGCAATGAGTCAGTCAATTATCAGGAACAAATAGTTCTGGAGCAGATATTTTTCAGTGTAAATTATGCAGAATGTAAAGTTTCCAATTGTTGTTGGTAGAAATTTATCCTAAAGGCAGTAACCTGACGATGCAAGATGTAAAGGAAGGATGCAAATGGGTATTTAGTCCTTATCTTCTACATTTTAGGATCGAGTATTTGATTCCTTGGTATCCCTTTCTTGATTTCCCCTCTTAACCTATTAATTTCTCTCTATCACCCTATATAGAATCCTATATTATCTATCTATGATATTCTTCTCACCCTCCACCACCTAAGGAGCAAAAATATTATCTACTAGACATTATAAATACCGCAGTTTTGTCCAACATTTCACAACATCAAGAATCTACTAGAAAATGGTAAAACGGTACATCCACCAAAAAAAAAAACAAATGAATTGACAAAACAGATGATGAAATGATATCTATATAGATTTGAGATAGATTTAGATCTAAAAAGCACAAACTCATACCTTAGTTAACAGCCTATTAACTAAGCTATAAGATAACAGCTTTAAATAAACTTAGGGGTTCTTACACGAGTGCATTTTTAGACCATGCTGCTTCATAGATTTCAATAGCAATTTGAAATCCCATATCAACCAAATCACCACGATCATCGTTACAGGAACTGCATATGTAACACCAGACCATATTTTTCTTGACTGCAATGTTGTAATTCCATATTCTTTAAGATATTCTAGTGAAAAACCTTCTCTAATGCTCTTTTTGCTTTGTCTTCATCAACTATCGCTGAAAGAGCACATGCTCGTGTATAACTACATTAGAGACACGCCTGGTAAGTTCTAGTCTTATCAGATCTGAACTAAAAATGAGAAACAGAAACATGTGAAACACTATAAATAAATCAAGATTTATCAGGCCTTGATAGTTGAGAATATCAATGAATGAAGTTAATCAGTTGCAACATACCATTGTCTAGTAAACTGATTAGCTTGAATAGATGATCTTGAGCGGCTACCGTTATTGTCGTAGTTGAAGTAAGAACCATTCCACAACTCCTCATATAAAACTTTTGCTTACTGAAATTTACACCAAAAATAATCCTCAAACCCTTAAGACCCACTTCATGTGCAAATCCTAACATAGCCTGCAATGCTACCACCTCCATTATATGCAGTTACAACAGAGATAGATCACGTATTGTATGTCTGATTAGGGAAGCCATCATTCTCAATCATCCCATCACCATCCCTATCAAATTCGAACCCATAAAAGTGTTTACGGAACCTTCTGCTTATCGTAACCAATATAGATCATTTGGGCAGCTGGATGAACTTTTGCAGGATTCTGCTCTGAAAAAAAGTTTAATACTCACTAAAGTTTTATCAAGTAAACTTCAATTTTGCTTTTGGACCAGAAATTGAGGAAGCTCGTTCAAACATTCACTATAATTTTCAGCCTTCATTAGTAACTGCATGACTAAGGACATTGTACATTCAGTCGGCTTCACATTTTTCTCTGCCATCTTATGAAGGAGTTCAACAACTTTTGTTATCTCATTATTCTTAAGGAAACCAAACATAAGCGTATTAAATGTGACTACATTTGGAGCACAACCATTTTCCTCCATATATGACAACAACTCATTTGCCATTTCTAGTTGTCCATTTTTACATAGCCCATTGATCAAAATGCTATATGTTACAACATTTGGCACCAGGTTTCCATGAAGAGAAAATTTCTGAAATAGGTCCCAAGCAGTTTCGAATCTCCCTGTTTTACATAATCCATCAATGAGGGAACTCAAACCTTCAATGCCAACTGCAAACTTATTAATTACTAGAGTACTAAACATTTCCAATGCTTCCAAAACACATCTGTTCTTGCAAAGTCCATCAATGAGAATGTTATATGTCGAAGAATCAGGAAAAGCATCATTAAGTTGCATCTCACCAACTAAATTCTGTGCATCTTTCACCTTTGCTATAAGAAAAAAGCCAGTTAACATTCCTTTTGAAATCATCTCTCGATAAAGACTAAGAGCTTCATTGACTTCTTTATTCTTGCAATACCAATTGATTAAAGTAGTGTAGCAAACAACATTAGGTCTATACCCCTTTCTAGCTATAGAATCAAACAACTCCCTTGCATCACCAATTCTATCTACCAAGCAATAACCGTTTATCAAAATGTTGTAAGTATAAATGTCAGGAACCACACCTCTCTGAATCATATGTTCCAAAAATAATTGTCTAGCGTTCTCAACCAATCCAGCCTTACAAAGACCATCAATTATAGTATTATAAGTAACAACATTTGGCCTACAAATAACACCAAATTCTATACTCCCATTAACCATCTCTTCATGAACCTTAATGGCAACACTTATCTTCCTTGTTTTACACAATCCACCACTCAAAGTGTTGCAAGTGATCACATTAGGCCTACAACCAACAACAATCATTTTCTTAAACAATTCCATTGATTCCATTAACGTTCTCTCTACACACAGACCTTTAATCAAACAATTAAATGTCACGGTATTTGGGCTAAAACCCAACTTCAAAATCACCCCAAAAACCGCATCATCAGAAACCCTTTCAGTATTACAGAAGCAATTGATCAAAATATTCAAAGACATTAAATCTGGAGACAACCCAATTGAATTCAATAGCTTATATAGCGAAATAACTTCATAATAATGCTGCTTCTTAGCTAATGCACTAAACAGCGTAGTGAATGATGAAATTGGAGAAAAGGGTTTGGAATTAATCATGTAATGAAAAAAGTACAATGCTTCATTCAGTATAAAGCTACCTGATCGACAATTTTCTTCGAGGAATTTAGCAAGTGAGGATCGTTCAAGGGTTTTTTTGAAAGAATACGAAACTTCATTTTTGGAGCTTGAAGATGTGAGGTTATGTAAGTGAGCTAACAAAAATAAAACATTAACTTTCGAAGATGGGTTTTGATAGATTGAAGATGAACGAAATGGGGATCTGAATCTCAAAGCCATGTATGAAGAGTGTTTTTGTGGGTCGTTTTTTCCGTCATTGCAAAAGGCAAATGCATTAAAGAGAAATCTTTTGACAAATTTCACAAACAACCTTAAAGGTTTTCAAAATTACAAACTTATGTCAAGTATCGATCTTTCCTATTCAAGCTACCTTTATGATTTCGAAAATTGAAGGGTAAAAATGTAAATCCACGTTCAGATGTTTTTCAGTTTGAGGTGGTTTTCTACTAAATCCAAAAATCAAACAAAATGCAACCCAATTTATATAAGTATTCAATTGGAATTTTTTTACCTTTTTTTTTAATAAAATTATAAGATTTAAATAAATCATGCTATTGAACTTTGTATTTAATTAACAATAATATATAATTTTTTTTTTCTATTTGTTCTTCAAACTTTTAAAATATACCAAAATTGATATTTCACATAATCGAATGTGATATATTAAAAATTCAAGGGATATTGTTTTTTACTTTTTAGAAGTTACACGAATAATGTTTCGTTATCATATTAATAAGATTATCACGCTAATTATATTGCTGAAATATCTATATTACTAAAATAATAGTATGTATAGTTTAATATAATTACTAGTTTTGTATTATACAATAGAGTTATATTGCCAGCCTTGAGGTTTAATATAGTAAAAATAATCAAATTTATAAAATAATAAAAATCTTAAGTGAATTTCTATAATTATAGTGAAGCTCAAAGGAGTTAACTTGATGTCCTTAACACTTTATGATACTATTGTAATGTTCTACATTTGTTTATCCACAATGTGCGCTATACATTAATATATATGATCAGCACATATCAAGTGATTAGACAATCGCACATACATCTATCTCAGTAAAGAGCTTTTGTCATGAATGTACTTCTTATAACATTGTAATCTCTATTATGACCCCAATTGCTTGTAAAATTTGGAAACCATGGTATCCACCAAAACTAAATTCTAAAAACAGTTACAAAATTTCTGACAACAATGTTTGGTACTGGGCTTTCAATGAGAGAAATTTCTACAATAACTACCGAGTAGTTTCAGATATCCTTGTTTTACATAATCCATCAAAGAGGGAATTCAGGCTTTCAAGGTCAACTGCAAACTCATTATTTGCTAAAGTATGAAACATTTGCACTTCTTCCGAAACACATCCATTCTTGCAAAATCCATCAATGAAAATGCTATGTGTCCAAGAATAAGGTAGAACCATTAAGTTGCATCTCACCAACTAATTTTTGTGCATCTTTTACTTTAGCTTTAAGAAAAAGGCAAGTTAACAAATTGTTATTTATAATCACATTAGGCCTAATTCCTTCTAAAATTGTAACGACTCCATTCTACTCACATTCTTTTAAAATATACATAGTAAAAATATATGTAAGAAAGCATAAAAGTTAGGGCCCAAATTTTTCTTTTATTAAACATATATATTCTTTATACAAAAAGTTGTATCATGTATAAAAAGCATCAAAAACAAGGTGGACAGTGTAGCCATTTCCCTTCGTTTGCCGACGTCCATTCGACTGTATCCTCACCTAGATCTTGCAAAAACATAGGAAACAACGAGGTGAGCACAACTAATGCTCAGTAAGTAAATCCTCTACTCATCTATCCCCGCAACTCTCTTTCTAATTCTTTCCTTACAATTCTCATTTACTCTCTCTTTTATACTTCTCTCTATTTGCTCTTTCTAATAACTCTTTGTTACTAACTCTCTTTTGTAAGTCACGGCCTCATCTTATCGGAGGCACGGCCGAGACTCGCTCTTGCTCTCCGTGACTTCTACTCATTCTAGCCGATCGGACTCGATTATGCATGGATTCGGAACCTTTGGCTATGTGAGTATATAATCTATCTCTCGGGTACTCTCGGGTATAGCCCTCATCCGCATGCACTCTCACGGGCTACACCACTTCTCTATCTCATACTCATGCCGCTCTCTCAATGCGGTGTACATGCGGGAATACTCTACCCATTACTCATGGGTTCCCTATCGCACAACCTACTCTATTCTTTTCTTTAGCACTTTTCTCTCTTTACTTCTCTAGTGCTCAATCTCTCTTTCTCTTTACTAATAGAGATGCTTATTCTCAACATCCCTCTCTACTCTTTCTCAAACTAACTACTCTAGATAACTTATACTCAAAAGTCTCTACTCTCTCTCAAGCTATTACTCAATGCACAACTAATGCACATGGTGTTTATGCTCATTAATGCAATAGGAAATGCCAATATGCGATGTTGCAAGAATTAAGGTTCACAATTCATGCTTATATTTCTCTTAGGCATTTCATCAAACAATCATGTGCTACAAAAACTCTACTATAATTCCTACTCTGTTTCATTCTCTAGCCATTCAAAATGGGAGAAAACTCCCTCAAATAACCATAACCCTGTCAGGAAAACACTTCCAAATAGGTTTACACAACATCTCCCAAACTTCAACTCAATTTCTACTTCTCAAAACACATTTAAACACTTCTCATACATGAAGTGCATCCAACAACCACAAATAGAATCTCATCTCAACTCAACTTTCAACAAGCATAATACATGCTTCACATGCATATATCTCTACTCAATCTCTACTCAAAAACTATTCAAGTCTCAACTTGGTTGATTTTTACTTTGTGAAAAAGTGACTTCTCTAGCACTTTTCCTTTCCCTTGTTGTCTTGTCTTCTCTCTCAACTCAACACACAACATAACAAAGCAACCATATAAGACTTCATATAAAATATAAGCAAACTCACATCTAAAGCAAGAATCCTTACCTTAGGATGCTTTAGATGAAATCTCTACCCAAATTACTCAAAAGCTTTCTTAAACACCTTAGAAATCTTGGAACAATTGAAAGGAAAATTGAAGAAGTAGAGAATGAGAATGGCGGTGGAATGGATGGAATGGGGTTTATTACACTACCCCTTTTTAGCTCATAAGAAAATCATCACTTTCCAACTTTGCCCTTGCTCTTCCTTAAAAATTCCATCTAATCCTTTGATTCATTACACTCACACCCCCACACTAACCATTCTCCATGAAATGTCCTTACATTTTACTCCCCACTTTTCCTGCTAATTAGGGTAGAAGAAGGTCATTTTACCCTTATGGAGAAATATCTAGAAACTTCATTAAACTTTTCCCTTCGCCACGGCGAAGAAACTTTTGTCGCCCAGCGAAAAATTATAGAGTCGACCCCGCCTTACCCAAAGCCACCGTCGCCGCGGCGAATACTACTCTTCGCCCCGGCGAAGACTGCAATTCTAAATTCCTCAAATCTCAACCAATTTCAAGGCAAACACTCACAAACTCAACTACACTCATTAAAGCTGAATCATAAACATTTAAGAAAAGCCATCTTAAAGTTGTACCTAGGTAGCTTCAAAAATCTTCTCTTCTAAAGACTAAGAACTTCTGACTTCTTTTTCTTGCAATACCATCTGATTAAAGTATTGTAGCAACACATTAGGTCCATATCCCTTTCGATTAAACTTCTTCATTTATAAGATCAGTTTTTATGTTGTTTATTAGAGACTATTATTAGAGGTGGCCACGAGGCAGCGAAGTCGATATTTGAAGTTCATTAGAGACATACTTCCAATAATGATGGAATCAATTAGAAAGAGAAAATTTTATAGCTATAAGACTTTTCTATTCTAATTTTTCAACGCATCATATTCTGCGACAGAATTTGAAATATGAGAAGAATCTTGAACTTTCTCTCAATGTTTTGACATGCTAATTCTTTAAATTAATTTCTCTATTCAATGTAGTGGTGGATCATTATGTATTTATTTCATTCGTTTGTTGTTTATTGATTAATTTTCCATCTTCTCCTCTTTGTTTTTATGTTAATCATATGAACCACAAATTTTATGAGATAATTTTAATCATTTATCACATGCTCATAGAAGCCAGTTAATTTCAAGAAACCTAAATTTAATATAACATTTATAATCAGTGTTTCTTATTGATTAAAATTTTTTACGTCAATCGAGACACAACTACTTTTATAACTCATAATGCTTAATCAAAATTATACTATTAATTTAATCTCCTTTATAAAAATATATTAGTGCAAACATTTAACTTAAGCATGCTAAAACTGATTACTTAATTAAAAGCAAGAAAGACCACAAGAAATTGAATTATAACGAAATTTCAACAACATTTTTTGAAAAACAACTTGACCTAAAACTTAAGCTGAAAAAGAGGCATCTTCACGTGTTACATAAACCAAGCCCAAATTCAGACAGAAAGACCAACCATACGATGATGAATCTGAAGATTCAAATCATGACCTCTACTTTAATATCGTGTGTGTGATTTTTGTGTAAGCTCGAAAGTCTGGTAGCCCAAAAATCAGTAGATCGACGTGATCTCAAGGTCATGGAATCTGAAGTCCGACTCAGCAAAACTCGTCGCGCCCATCCATACAGTTGTTTGACAGACTAAGGGATAACCTTATC